ATTCTGTTGACTCTTTCTGCAATGCCAATGCTCTGTTCGTGACGTTTATTTACATTGCTCCTAAGCGGAGGTACGGCTAATTACCATGTTTCTCTTTTATTAGATAGGATAGCCCCAAAGCACAAGAGGAGTGATGCTGGCAATTCAGATATACCAAAGAGAAGCCATAAAGTGCTTTCTTTAAGTGAAAAGGTGAACATTGTATAGTACTATAAGATATTTTTAGAGACCACATTCACATAACTTTTATTATAGTATCCTATCCTATATAATAAAAGGCTGATATCCAAATTGTTCCCTCGGGAGTTTGACCGACCAAGAGTTCGACCACTTGCTATGACGTGTGCTGAACACCAGGGGGCGGCGCAGAATGAAGGCAGGCCCCAGCCTGCCGCCAGGGGAAAGGAAGGCCTCGATTGTCCCCGATCGCCGGCCAGGCCTAGGGACCCTACCCGTGCAAGAATTTCGTACACTGGGCCTCTGGTATTGTTATAATTGTTCTATTTCATTATTGCTTAGGGTTAATCTCTTACTGTGTGTAATTTAGAAATTAAACTTTATCATAGGTTTATATGCATAGGCCCAATACTATCCTCGTTTTCAGGCATTACTGGGGGTCTTGGAACAAGTCGCCAACCGGTGGTCCATGGACCACTGGTGGACCGTGAAGTCCGAAAGGTTGGTGACTGCTGTCTTGGAATGTATCCCAATGCAGATAAGAGGTGACTACAGTAAAATAACTCAGTTAATGAAACACTGATTTTAACAAATCAACTGGCAAAGAATTACCAACTAATTTATCAGCTATTTGCTCAAAATGATATACAATTATACTGTTATTCTGGATGACTAAAAAAAAAAAAATTTCTTATACAATTTAAAAAAACCATTAAAATCATCACAATCTGACATTTCAGAATGGCATAAAAACAAGTTCATTAGAAAGAGCCCTGGATATTGCAATCCTAATTGCTAATATCCAGCTATATATCCTGTGATAAGTCATTTAGAAAATATGTGTCTCAGTTTGTTCACTTGTATGGTATGGAAATTGAACTAGCTGATTGCTAAAAGTCCTTTCTAGGACTAAAATTTGCTTCTATTGTGAAGTATTTTAAATAAATAAATATGCTACTAGGTTAAAGGTATAAAAAAGGTCTTACTGTGCCTGGTCTGTTATAAAGTAGTTTATGTAGATTTCTAAGTTCATCTGTTTTCTTCTTACTCAGAAAAAAATGTATCCTTTCAATTTCACACAGTTTCTGCCCCTTTCCTAGAAAAAAAATACCATAATAATTAAAGTTAAATAGCATTATGTGTTAATACACTTGCAAACTTAATGAAAATTATTTTTATATTTTTATAATATAATTTACATAACTTTTGCTTTAATACGGCAAACTAAATAATACCAATAATATATTACTACTTAGTAAATACTAAAAACTAAGCACTGTTAATCATTATTTTTGTATATTTAGGCATTTTCATCATAAAATGAAAGAACACAGAATAAACTTACCTTGTGCAATTGTAAATGGCTCTCTTTGTAAAGAAGAGACTTGCATTGTCAACCTCTCTACTTTTTTCTTTTCCCTCTTGCCTTCCACGATGAGACTCTTTTCTAGAAATTAATTTAATACTTCTTAAATAACAAGTTTAGATATATTAACTAACTTCATTATATAAATATGTAGGAAATAATCACATGTCCTTAACATGATTTTTGAGAATATAACATTAACAGAGATGAAAATACTTGATCAGTTAATAGCAACACCAAATTTTTTGAGTAACATTATATTTACCTGGCAACCTCACAGGGGATCCAATATTTAAAAAATCAGAAAGGAAATTTATATCCAACTACAATTATTGCTATCAAAGTCCAGTCACTGAAAAATTGCCAAGGTCCTCAGTTAGCCTATTCTCTAATTAGACATAATTCTATTAACTGAAATTCAGTTTACTATATCTCCAAAAACAGCTAGTTTAGACAAGATTATAAGAACTTAAAAGATATACAGAAAGGCAACAATTTAGTTGACTGACAGAAAAGAAAACAAAGGACCTTAAGTAAGACAAAGCAGCCTGGAGTTACTATGGATAGGGTAAAATTCTACAAGTTTCATTTACTACAATCAAGTGGGAGGGCATTACTTTGTAGGTTAATAAATGATGTTCATAATTATGATCATAAATCATCCCAAAATGTTAAATTCTGTTTAGTCCAGATTGCCTTTTTTTAAAAAAAGGCAATATAGAACATATACTTTAAAACTTAAAACACTAAGCCGGCTTTTCTAAAACCACTTACCTACTGACTTGAGATAAAGTCGGATAAATAAGAGGACCCCATACTATAATGTTGAAGATCCTTCCAATCATTGAACTGAATGCTTATTTTGTGCAAGGCTGCATTAGCTACAAGGGTTGAGTAGATGATTTTGATACTATCTTTTAGAAGATCATGTTTGGGGGAGAGAGGAAGGGGGAGAAGAGATAATGAGACACAAATATCATACTCTAAAGTAGATGATGACAGAACACTTTTAATAAAGACAGAGTTCTAAGAGTTGAGGAAAGAGTAATTATCTTTGGATTAGGAATCCAATGAGGATCAAAACATTGGAACTGGCTTTGAATACAGTTAAGATTTGGAGATGTAAGGATTTTGCACATAGAAGCATGGAATGACTGTCAAATCTCAGAGGAAAGTTGGGGGGGGATGGGAAGAGATCAACAAGAACTTGTATGCATGTATGCATAACCCATGGACACAGGCAATAGTGGGGTAAAAGCCTGGGGGGGGGGGCGGCTAGAAGGGGTCAATGGGGGGAAAAGAGGAAATATGTAATACTTTCAACAATAAAGATTTTAAAAAGTAAAAAGGATTTGCACAGAAAGAATTAGGAAAAGGGATTCCAGCAGGTAAATTCTGGCGATGGTATACAGAAAAGCACTCAAAAAGCAACCCCTGTTATCACCCCACTTCCTTTCTTTGAGTGACTTAAACCATTAGGTTTGAGTTACTTGCCATGTATAAGCTAATAATTTTCCTGGTCTATCTCAAGTCCAGAGTTTTTTCCCCAACTTCAACTAACAGGGCTGCCACTGGACAGCTCTACTTCATGTCCTATAGGCACCTAACTGAATGTATCCAAAACAGGTCATAATTATCTCCAAACTCACTCACCTTCATGAATTCTATTTTTCAGAAAATGGTAACATTATCCATCCAGCTGCCAAAGACAGAAATCTAGGAGTCATCTTTTACTAGGCATCCCCCCAAGCCCTGCCAAGAAAACTATTGCTAAAAGTCAATTAATCCCTTATTTGGTACAGACTTCATTGCCTTGCTTTTTTTATGCCTCAGTAGTATACTTAAATTTTCAGGGCTAAGTAGGATAAAAACATCTGAAATTTTAGTTGTTCCATTAACACCTAAAATGAGGAATAATAAATCAGAACTACTTGGGAATATATATTTTAAAAATTTCATGTTGAAATTCATGATCTCTGTGGCACCCAAACCCTGTCTTTAAAAGAGGTTTGGCTCAGAGCACTGGCCTGCGGATTGAAGGGTTCCGGGTTTGATTCTGGCCAAGGGCACATGCCCGGGTGGCGGGCTCCATCCCCAGTTGGGGGCGTGCAGGAGGCAGCCTATCAATGATTCTCTCTCATCACTGATGTTTCAAATCTCTCTCTCCCCCTTTCCCTTCCTCTCTGAAATCAATAATATATACACTAAAAACAACAAAATTGGAGAAAAAAGTGCTGAGAAAATCTTGGACCAGTAGATACTACAGCCAATTCTGTTATGGTACTATGGGTAGTTAACAAAATAACACTTTTTTCCTAAGCATTTTTGCACGTAAATGCGGACCTGCTCCCTTCGTAGAGCACTGACCCCTTTAAACAAATAAAAGGCAGACCATTCTGCGTAACCTCAACCCGGCCTGTATTTATAAAATGCTGAACGTGGACTGACTGGTCTTGGCTTAACAGAAATGAGCAGTTAAGCCTGCTTTTTAAACACTGCACCTGCCCGTCTTCCGCAGGGTGGCCGCGCGGTAGCCACCCATTAAACCGAGACCTGGCTGACCCGTCTGAGAACGCCGAGATCTCCGACACGGATCCCTCGGCGGCCGGGCATTTCCCGGGCGCGCTTCCAAGAGGCGCTCCTCCTCTGCTTGGGATGCGCGGCTGCAGCGCCTCCCTTAGCTCCCTAAGTTCTCCTGGGTCGTGCCTCCCGTCGAAGGGTTACGGTGTTCTCCCTCAACACGAAACCCAGACAGCAGACAGCACCCGGCCCCTAGTCTACTTTCGTTCACAGCTCACTGCTTTCGCCCGTGGCCACTTTCTCCGGAGCAACAGCTTTCCCGTGATCAGTGCTGCCCCGAGAAAGGAACTCCCCGAGGCCTCCGCGGAAACTCAGCCAACAAGTTCACTATGTCCAGGACGAACCTTCAGCTCAGTGTGCCGTCTCCTGAAAGACTCGACAATAACCTCCAAAGGCAAAAGGTTAACACGAGACATCACCTTACTAAACGTCCAAGGCCGAGAGCTTTCAAAGCGGATCTGAAACCTGCCAACTTCCCGTCAAAGGACAGACGCGGGATGGAAGCCCTGGGATGCTGAGGAGTCGGCGGCACGAACAACACTGACCATATGTCTTTCAAACACCGGGGTTCGCCAGGCGAATTCCCTGCCGCTGCTCCACACAAAACCAGAGGCATTTCGCATTCTTGCCGAACACTCCAACCGAGTGAGTGCCTCCACGCGCAAAAGAGCAAGAAACCCGCTTCCTGGAAAACCCCCCGCTCACCTTTCTCTTCTTCCTCGTCTTCGTCTTCCTCCTCGTCTTCGTCCTCCTCCTCCTCTTCCTCACTTTCCTCTTTCGGGCCGGGAATTTCGGGCTCCTTCTCCGACGCGGGCGGGTCGGGGGTTCCCTCTCCCTCCGCCGCGGGGCCCGAGGAGGACATGCTGTCGGCCTGTGGGCTTTGCAAACCGCGGCGTCGCTGTCTACAGAATTCCCAGGAATGGAGGGGAATCGCGAAACGAGCGCTCCAGTGAGGTCCCAGCGTTCTTCCTGGCGACGGCTCCCGATTCCGCTGTGTCTCCGGGGATCCCGCCGCCTGCGAGGTGCGCGGTAGGGAGGACGATCCGGTCGCGTTGGAAGTTCACGTCACGGAGACGAGTAGGTTTCCAGACCTGCAATTGTAGGGGGGATCGGGTGTCGATGATAATAGAGGAAAAGAGGCATTGTCCAGGCCAGATCCACAGATCTTTTCAACCCAACATTTCAAAAGCTGAGCGCAGTATCGCTCTCCCTCAGATATTCTCCCTTTCTGTATGTGACTCCCTTCACCTTCCCCAACAACTAAGCCGCTGGCTGCCCAAAGGATCCTTTCACGCAGTGGACTTAACCGGAATATGATACATCCAAATAGAAAAATAAATGTGCCTGAATGGACTCCGGATTGCGGCGCCAAAGTAGACATTTATTTTGAATCTTCTCTTTTCCTTTTATGCCCATATCACAAACATAAGCAAAACCTGTCATTCCAATCTCAAATTTTATATCATTTCCCACTCCACTGATGCCATTCAAATCCCGTCCTTTCTCTTCGTTTGCGTGGATTTCCACACAGCCTGCCACTCATTGGGCAGGTGACATCCACATTGTCACCCCATCACCTCCTAGTGACCTAGTCACATAGCAACCAAGGTGTGGTTTTAATCAGATTGGGTAGTCTTCTTGCTTAAAGCTCTCCCATGGCTTCCCATCACACTTGGAATAAAATTCAAATACAGTGGTTTATGAGGTCCTAAGTAATTCAGTTGCTGACAGTCTTGGTCTCATCTCTCCAACACAGTTGGCTGTTTCAGTCACACAACCTTCCTTCGTGTTTCTACATAAAGCCAAGCTCATTCCTACCTTGACCTCCCCACTTACTTTTTTCTGCTAGAACTGCTTTTCCCTCAGATATTTCAGATGATTTATTGCACCTTCACATCATTTAGCTCTATGCTCAAGTGCTTCTCCTTCCTCAATACCATCACTATTCCCTTCCCATTGTGTTTCATTCATTCATTTATTAATTGTAATATATATTAATATAAAATTTATTAATTTATTTTATACCATTTCTCACTCCACTTTCTGCACCTACTTTCTGCTCAGCCCTAGGGAGCTAGAGAGCAGGACTAAGGAAGATCTTGTTAATAGATGACATGTGAAAAGAGATCTTAAGTAAATGAGAGCAGTGAAGAAAGACTGGATATATTCTGAAGAATTCTGTAAAGTATTGAATATGGGGTATATGAGAGAGAAATTAATGATGACTTTGGATTTTTGGTTCAATAACCAGAAGAACCAAGTAGCTATTTTCTGAGATGAGGAAGACCTTAGGAGTTGGAAGGACATGGAAGGGGCGGCGGTGTTGAGGGGGCAGGGGGAGTGTGTGATGAAGAAGGGGATCAGCTGTTTTGTTTAAATATGTAAGGTCTGAGATTCCAGTTAGCATCTAAATGGAGACTCAGAATAGGCAGCTGGATGCAAGAGTCTGGCATTCAGAGAAAGACGCTCTAGCTCAAGATGTAAATTTAGCAGTTGTCAACATGTAGATGGTCTCTAAAACCCTGGGCCGGATGACATCACTAACAGTGAGTATTGGTATAGATGAGGAAAGGTTCAAGGTTGTACCTTGGTGCCCTTCAATGTTTAGAGGTTCAGGAGAGGAAGAGGAACCAGCAAAGGAGATAAGAAGGAGCAGCTGTAGCCAGTGAAGTGGGAGGAAAATCAAGTGAACTGTTGTGTTTCAGAAGCCAAATGAACAAGTGTCTAAGAGGGAGAGGGTGGTTAACTGGGTCAGAAGCTGCTAAAAGGTCAGGTGAGAAGAGAACTGAGAATTGGCCATCTGAAATAACAATGATGAATTATATATAAGTGACAACAGCTATTTCTGTGGGGTGGTGAGTATGGCGGTGCCAGGAGTGGGGATAGAGAGAGACAGGCAAGGAATGGATTCTGATGATCTTTTCAGAAATGTTGGTGTTCAGGGGAGCAGAGAAATGGGGCGGTTGGCTCAAAGGGAGTCTGGTGTTTAAGAAGGAAGATACAATTGTATGTTTATGGGATGATGGGAATGAATCAGTAGAGAGGGAAAAATTGATGAAAGATGGAGGGGCAATAGCTGAGCTGAGCGACCTACGGTAGATATGTCAAGTTGGGTTCTCTAAGCAGATGCTGAAGCAGAATTTGAGGAGCTAGAAATTTATTAGGGATCAGCACCTGTGAAACGAAGAGGGAAGGAAGCAGGATTGTACAGAGGGAGAAGTCCAACTGTGAATCAGATCTGACAAAGCCAGCCCTGTGGGGAGCTCTGGAGTGAGTATTCTTCTGAGTGTTCTTCCTGGCTGGGCTTTTATATGCCAACCTTGCTCACTGCATGCAAGCTGTCCCAGGAAGGGCATGACCTCAGGTGAAGTGACTCCACAGCTGTAGCAGACCCTGAAGAAGCTGACAGATGGAGGCTGCTGATTGCAGGCTCTGCAACTGGGCAGCAGGTCCTTCCTTTGAAGGGGGTTCTGGGTGGCACATTTCCATGTTTCCCACAGGAGACGAGAAGTGACAGAATCTAGTGCACAAGTGGAGGAATTGTCCTTAGATGGAACGTGGACAGTTTCTAAACATGGAGGATATTTGTACCCACACTGGGTGGGCTTTGGCAGATGTAGTGGAAGTTTTAGAAATTCATTAACTTTTTCAGTGAAGTCAGGAGCAAAATCATTGACAATGAATGAGTGTGGGAGAGGACTGTTGCGAGTTTCAGGAGAAAGGACATGTGAGCTAGTTAGGTAGGAGAATGGGGGATGGATGATTAGGGAATGTAATATGGTTGCCAGGAAGCTACAAGGAGGACCCAGTGGGAATAGTGACCATGAAGTCAAAGTGAGACCAGTTAGAATTATTGTTTTTCTCCAGACATATTCAGCTACCCAGGAGTAGATGCGAAGATGGCAAAGGTTTGGGTTTAATCAGGTTAGGATTTTGCCAGGCAAGTATGAAGACAGGAGAGAAGCGTAAGTGAATTGAGTATATGGGCAGGATAATGAACATGATGGTGCATAGAATCTGAGTTGAGTAGGGAGGAAAGTAAAGACACTTAGTGAAAATGGGCAAGATCTTTATATCTTTGTTGCATTTATCACTACCTGAAAATTTCATTGCCTGTCATCCAGGTAAAACAGTAAGTTCCTTAAAGCTTCAGGGACTCTGTCTTATTCATTATGGTATTCTCAGCACCTGAAGCAGTGCCAAACACATAGTAAGTGGTCAGTAAGTGTTTGCCAAATGAATGCAAACCAATCTTATTAAACTCTTATTATGAAGATTCAGAACGGTTTTCGTTTAATGAAATGGTATATAAGGATAGGATGGGTTATTTCAGCAAAAGTTTATTTAACAGCAGTTCAACAATTTTGTTTAACAGCAAAGGTTTATTTCTCACTCAGTAAAGTTTTCTGTTGGTTCAAGCAACTCCCCAGGGCTTCCATTCATGTGGTTTATTTATTTCTTTAGGCTACTTTGATCTTATAGATCCACTATCTCAACACAAGTCCTTGGTGTTCATGATGGGGGGGTGGGCGGGGGAAAGACAGCAGGAGAACTCATTCCTGCCCTTCTATGATTCTGCTCATTGGCCAGTGACCAAATCAGTCCTATGACCCCTCCTAACTGCAAAGAATCTAGGCATTATAGGGCACATATGGAGTAGCTGGTGAGCATAGCTGTCTCTGCACAGAAGGGGCTAATAATTGCCATTAGATAAGGTACAATTGAGGTGAAGAGGGAATGTCCCTGAAAATATCCGTTAGTTTTATTTTGGAAATACAGGGTGAAGCAAACGTAGGTTTATAATTATTCCTATAGAAAATAATACAACAATTAATAAATAATGATGCAAGGATAGACTTTTGTGTACTCAAAACTATAAACCTACTTTTGCCCCCACCCTGTTCTTAAACCCTGATTCTTAATGTTTTTTCATTCTGCTTTGAGAAGTTTTTATATATACTGCACACATGTATCTGTTTTTCTCAGACACATATCTAGCTCTTACATACATATATCTGTCTTTCCCAGACTATAAGCTTCATGGACAGAGACCATGTTCATGCTATATATTCTCTCCCAGTACCTGGCACAGTGCCTGACACATAGCAATACCTTAAAAAATATTTCTTTAATTGAAATGCATCCCCTTTTGGTGCTTAGACAGTGGCATGAGTGTTGTCTGGCTGCTATTTAAAGACCTTCCAGCAATATCAGTTCAGTAAATGAACATGGCTTGAATAAGCTGAGGACCAGATTCTTATTTAAACCTGTTCATAAATATAAATATAGTGACACATTTGCTTCTTCTAAAAACTAGATATCATTTCTATTTTGGTCGAAAGAATTAGCCAAAGTACACAACTTAGTATTGTGAGATTAGTTTTAAAATATGTGAATGCAGCAATATCCAGTTGGTTGGTAATGATAATGGCCAGGGAAGACTATTCAGGGTGAGCAGTAGGAGAAAATGAGGGAAATGGTGGTTAGACTTACAAAAGTCAGAGAAGTGATAAGAGGTTTAAAATAAAAAGAGGAGAAGAGAAATAGAAATTTAAAAAAAGAAAAGAAAATTGAAGCAAATAGAACTCGACTGGAGAGAGAGAGAGAGAGAGAGAGAGAGAGAGAGAGAGAAGGCAGAAAATAATCTTAAAACAACAAAAGAATAATGAAGAGCATGATCTGGAGGCAAAATGTTTGGCTGTTCTACTCTGGCTCTGTTCTCCTAAGGCCAGCCAGCCCTTCCCCCTTGCTTTCTTCTATATTATTTTTACTTTTTAAAATAGTTTATTGACTTTTAGAGAGAGAGGAAGGGAAAGGGAGAGAGAGAAACATTGATGTGAGAGCATAACACTGATTGTCTGCTTCCTAAAGGCCCCCTACTGGGGATTGAGCCACAAC